TCTTAACAAGGGACACATACCCAACTCGGGCAACGCGGCCCGGTCCATTGCTGCCGCGGAGATCGTGCGCTGCGCCGGTACCGGGATGGGATGCGAGGAGGTACATAAATGCGATGGGGGGAAGCTCGCAGCCTGGTCCATTTCTGCCACCAAATTCACAACCTGACTGGGTCCTGCCTGGAGGATCGCTGGGCAACTGGCAACTAAGCCATACAAGGGCCGGTCAAGCTGCATTTCAAGCCAGCCCGTGATATGCAGCACCAAAAAGAATCACGATTCAGATAAAGTCACTTCACCCAACACATCAACAACCCAAGCTGAGTTGGCATGGTGAAGGCAACCCGACAGCTACGCACAAACCAGCACCCGTGCTTGCCTACATCAATTGCAGAGGTCCTCAAACATACTCACCATCGGCCTACAATAGAAACCAACACTTGCCCCGCATTGTCCGGAGCATTTAAAGTTGCACTCTCACAAAAGTACACCCTCGAAATGGGGTGATAGGGAACTGTCGGCTCCAAAAATAAGAGCCGCTTAAAATGCGCACTCTGGAAATCACAATAATTAGGAAGGTATGCCCAAGATGGGCAGCAAGGATACAAGTCCTTGGTTGATTTTGAGCCGAGGATGCAACCCGGATCATGTCTAAAAATTTATCCCAAGAAACTGAACTCGTTAGTTTCTGTACTTACATCGGGGTCAACATTCGCTGCATGTAGACAACCCACTTATTCACATAGAACCGCCCCCCCCCCCCCAACAAACACAATGGACGTGGAGTCGATTTTGCAACCACACTGGGTATGAGCTGACCTACATGGAGATGGCGTGGACCCCAGCCAGCTTTGGAGATCACAAGGGCTCCGGGCATTACAACTTGGAAGCTGCCACGCGCTTTTCCTCCGCCTGTGCTACCAGCCCCACCACCTAGCCAACGGCAAAGATCAACCAGCACAAAAGAGAAGTGTTGCTTGATGCAAAAGTGAGGAACCGGGGCACGTTGCAAAATTGGTGAAAACTGAACAAACAATACGAATATGTTCGAACCACTCACAAAAGTATCCTAGACAAACTGGAATTCACCAACTGAAAACTCGCGCTGTTCAGGAAAAAAAAACAGTTTTAAAAAATCATAGAAACCCAACAACGTTTTCTAGCTCAAAGGATTCTGTCCAACCGGTACAGCAATCTGGTGAAAGTAGCGAGATGCGTCTATGCAGCTCGCAAGCCAAGACTTCAAGAATCACAGCTGGGAGCCCAACAAATGGGCGGGGCCTTGGGTTACGTTCCGAAAAACCACCTGGCCTTATTCACGACACACCCAGGTGTCACTGAGCAAAGAGCCACTGCCACAACCCCTGGCCTCGTCCAGCAGCTGCATGGCCCGGGCGGCCGCAGGGATTCCGCTCCGTCTCCAGGGAGGGCGCCTGAGACCGGCGATGGGCGACAAACCAGCGATGCGTCCAAGCCCAGGAACACGCTTTGCACCTCAAATATGTTCACCAACATAAACTACGTCCTATTTGCTTTAGAAACAAGTCGCACACACACCTTTGGCAAGCACTGCATCGTAAGGGTCAGATCCAAGTTGAAGCTGTTGATCAATCAAACCTGTTGCACGCAGCCGGGCTGAACTCACCATGCTGTCGAAGAGCAGAAAAACTCGCCGCGCAACAAGGAAGGTACTGCCCATGCAAGCAACCGAAGGCGGGCCCAGCTTTGGAGCCTTTCGGAAAGCCTGCAGCCAAAAAGAAAATGGACATTCTGGTCTGGACATGGCCTCCATCTCTTGGTTCCAAGCGCTGGCTTGACGTCGACCTCCTGAGGATGGACAAAGTGACAAACACATCTGGCAGGTCAAAAGTTACGATGTTTGAGCTGGAGCTACGAAAGTGTACTTCGCCTACTACCTTCATACTTAAACTTGCGATTTTCCAGCTGCCGCGGACCAGGGGGGGTTGCCATGGTTGGCAGTTGCTGTAGGCCGGACTTCCCAAAACACAGCAGCGCCCGGAGACCCCTTTGGCGATATGAGCAGATCTTTCTGTTAATCGGTTTCATGGGGTAGAAAGGCCCGTGTAAGCTCTCAACCATCTTAGTAGAACCAAACGTCAATGGGTGAACTGGGCGCTGCTCACTTGGCTACTGCAAACACATGAAGAGCGCCAGTCTTTTGTAGGCTTGGCTCTGGCCGCCATCGCAGGCTTGTCGCACATAGGGCGCCATGCGACTGAAACTCACGGAGTTTGGAAGCGATGGTGGTTGAGATTTAATTATTTTTGGGAAAGCGATGCTTCCGCTGTTGGATCAAATTTGATCCATCCGCAAAAGGTTGAATTTGGTTCACTTCTCATTTTTCACAAGTTGCAGATGGATCAAATTTGCGAAAGTCTTGACAGCAGAAATTATTTGCCAAGCCCTCGCTCCGAAACGTTTCGGCGATGTGAGGCGCCCTGGCCCGGTCATCAAACCCGCGACCGTCGATGTAAAAAACTGCGGACTTTTTACGATGCTTGCGGCGCGCGCGCGCGCGCGCGCGACCCTCTGCGGAGATCGTCCGTGTCGACGCGCTCTCGCTGTGGCGCCGTGCGGTTTCCTTGCTCGCGGAGTGGCCTTTGGAAGTTGTCTCGTGGCTTGCGCGCCTTCCCGCCGTCGCAAGCCCGAGCGCTGATCAAACTCCCACCCCGGCTCCTTAGAAACCTAAACTAACTTACATAACTACTTGCTCCTGCCTAACCATGGCTCTGTGCCACTTGGCTCTGCCACTTGGCTTCGCGCCACCACTTGGCTCTGTGCCACTTGGCTCTGTGCAACTTGGCGCTGTGCCACTTGGCTCTGCGCAACTTGGCTCTGTGCAACTTGGCTCTGTGCCACTTGGCTCTGTGCAACTTGGCTCTATGTATCTTGGCTCTGTGCAACTTGGCTCTATGTAACTTGGCTCTGTGCTACTTTGCTCTGCGCTACTTGGCTCTCTGCCACTTGGCTCTGTGCAACTTGGCTCTGCGCAACTTTGCGCTGTGCAGCTTGGCTCTGTCACATGCAATGCAACTTGGCGCTGTGCCACTTGGCTCTGCTTGGCTCTGCGCCACTTGGCTCTGCGCCACTTGGCTCTGTGCAACTTGGCTCTGTGCAACTTGGCTCTGTGCAACTTGGCTCTGTGCAACTTGGCCCTGCGCCACTTGGCGCTCTGCAACTTGGCTCTGTGCAACTTGGCTCTGTGCTACTTCGCTCTGTGCTACTTGGCTCTCTGCCACTTGGCTCTGCGCCACTTGGCTCTGTGCAACTTGGCTCTGTGCAACTTGGCTCTGTGCCACTTGGCTCTGTGCAACTTGGCTCTGTGCAACTTGGCTCTGTGCAACTTGGCTCTGTGCAACTTGGCTCTGTGCAACTTGGCTCTGTGCAACTTGGCTCTGCGCCACTTGGCTCTGTGCAACTTGGCTCTGTGCAACGCAATGCAACTTGGCTCTGTGCCACTTGGCTCTGTGCAACTTGGCGCTGCGCAACTTGGCTCTGCGCAACTTGGCTTTGTGCAACTTGGCTCTGCGCCACTTGGCTCTGTGCAACGTGGCTCTGTGCAACTTGGCTCTGTGCCACTTGGCTCTGCTTGGCTCTGTGCCACTTGGCTCTGTGCCACTTGGCTCTGTGCAACTTGGCTCTGCGCAACTTGGCTCTGTGCAACTTGGCTCTGCGCCACTTGGCTCTGTGCAACTTGGCTCTGTGCTACTTCGCTCTGTGCTACTTGGCTCTCTTGCACTTGGCTCTGTGCCACTTGGCTCTGTGCAACTTGGCTCTGTGCAACTTGGCTCTGTGCCACTTGGCTCTGTGCAACTTGGCTCTGTGCAACTTGGCTCTGTGCAACTTGGCTCTGTGCAACTTGGCTCTGTGCAACTTCACTCTATGTAACTTTTCCAAGGGCTCCGCACGGAAGAACTCTTCGCGATGCTTTCAGGAGAAAAGAGATATGTCCAGTATTGATGGGTTCCCTTTAAAATCAACAGGGGAGAATAGAAATAATGATATTTAGCACATGGGAGCAATTCCTCTGCACTTGCAACATGCCCCGTGCCACGATAAGCATCATAATGCTACAAAAGCTCCGGTTCCGGTTGTTTGCAACCTGTCCTGCGTCACGCGAGCTGCTTGCCGCTGGCAGCCTCTGCTATATATGTTGGTGGACTAGGGCGCCAATAGCCCTTGAGGTCTGTCAGAACCCATGAAAAAAAAACGTATTTGCTGGAAGGAAACCTCGGGGCAACAAGGTTCGGACCAAGGGGTTTAGAGAACCTGGCAAGAAAGGGGCACCAGAAACCAACGCTGGCTTGGTCCGGATCCTAGCCATCCAAACCAATCCCCTCATTGCGACCTACCCATATGCCCAGAAGTCCCTCATCATTTTCCTACCTGGTCCCATCGCAACGCGATCTGGTCCCTGGGTAGATCTTGGCTTCATGAGGGTATTCGAGGGCACTGGCCTTGGAAGCTTCCCGACTGACGGAGCTCTCACGCTTGTTCAGCTTGCTTCTTCACCTCAGAGCCAAGTTAAAATGGGGTTCCTTTAGAATTTCCCAGGTGGGCAACTACCTTGCATTTGGTGCCTTTCCTTGGGCTTCCTTGCGGGTTCAAACGGACTTACTTGCGATTTCTTCAGAAGGGGTGCAGGAAACCAAACATAGCATATTCTTTTCCCCCGCGGCCAAGACTGGCTAGGGCGCGTTTCAAGGCGGCATGTTCACCCAGTAGAGCTATTGGCCAGTGCACAAACGTGAATGCAGCTGAGAGTTCCGCCCTGTGCCATCCTTGAAATACACGTGGCCCGCATCCATGAGCTGCCCCTTCTCTCCGGCAAGCCGCACCTCACGCCGAAAACACACAAAAGCACACCGAAAAAGCCAGGCAGTCCAAACGGCCCCGTTTGAACCCTCGCCTTGCGCCACCTTTTCCGACTCATGCAAAACACGGCCGCTTCTCATGCAAATGGACCGTTTTCGTGTGATTTGAAAGAGCAACCAGAAACAAACAAACCAACAGTAGAATTCGCACGCGGCCATGCTGGGCTCGGGCTCTTGCTGCTGCAAGGATGGTAGCAACCGCGATGGCAAGGCACGCGAAGATGTACCTGTGGATGTGTCTCAAAGGAGCCGAACGACGGGCAGATTTGGCGCACCAAGCGAACACGCGCTTGATCCGGACTGGCATTGTAGAAGCACGTGGTGCCCTCAAAAGGTCCCAAAATGCAAGAGACGCGCATGCCGCCCGGAGCACATGGGCATGTGTCAAAACACGGGCACGAATAAGTGTCCTCTTGGCCTCCTTTAAAACCACGAAAGGAGAGCTTCGCATATTTGGCTGTGGCCCGAAAACATGTACTAAAACACCTTGGCAATGGCAATAAAGACTAAAACCTGCGTAGCCCTAGTTCTTCACTTTTGAGCCACGCACATTTGACAGCAGGCTTCGTGATGCTCCGCCACAAACGCGTGCTGCAACGCCTGGATTCGAACGCGGCCCTTCGCTTGCGCGCTCGGACAGCGACGCGGCCCGGACCTCTCGCGCAGCTGGGCGCTCTGAGGGAGCTCGGCGTAGAAGAGCCCGCGTAAAGGCGATCCCAGCCTGCTCGTGAGCGAGCGAGTGAATGTGAGTGAGGTGTGAATTAGGTGAGCGAGGCGTGAGTGAGCTGTGAATGAGGTGAATGAGCTGCGAATGGGCTGCGAGTGAGGTGTGTGAGGAGGTAAACCAGGTCTGAATGGGCTGTGAGAATGCGGTGAGAGTGAGGCGTGAGTGAGCTGTGAATCAGGTGTGAGTGAGCTGTGAGTGAGGTATGAGTGAGGTGCGTGAGAAGGAAGCAAAGAGGCGGAAGCCCGCAAAGGAAAGACCAAGCACCAGGCCTCCCCCTCAAAGCTGAGCTCGAGAGGCGGAACGTCCTGCGAAGGCATCTGAAAGCTGACGAGCAAGGGCTTCCGCTCAGCTCCTCCACCACGGCCCGCCGCACGGCCGCGGCATCGACGCCCTGGTACGGGTACTTCCCGAAGTGGACCATGTGGGCAATCACCCCGATGCCCCACATGTCCACCGCGAAGTCGTACCCGCCCTCCAGCTCCGGAGCCATGTACGGGGGAGTGCCTCAGCACCCAATTCCATAGGAGGGGAGCCTTGCCTCAACAAGAAGGTTGAACTATAGCCCCCTTACACTTTCTTCAATTCCACTTTCCCTAGCCCTATACTGCCGCTTTTGCTTTGGCTCGGTTTACGTAGTACTTTTTGGGGCTCTTTATGGTGAGCTTCCTACAAAATGTTGCCGGGGTAAATTTGAGAACTCGTTGGATGTAACCCCTCAACACGGCTTGTTAAACCAACAAACAAAGCAGAAAAACCGCAAATACCAGTGAATGCTAGAAAAGGGTGGGTCCCTGGGGGGCGGGGGAGGGTACCACAAAGGCACACGTTAGTGAAAGGACACTTTTGGACTCCACCCTAAGCAACAGCCAAACACGTGTGTTTATTAAACCCATGTCTCGCCGGTTCGACTTCCTGGTCACGCTGTCGAACTCGTGAGCGGTGGCTCTGCTTTGGGGGGTTGAAACTTTTTAGCACGGAGGAGCCTTGGTAGAGGTGTGTGTGTGTGTGTGCTTTTTATTGAGGGTCCTCTTGTTTGGTGCGGTTTTTTGCAGGGGAACCACAAATTTGGAGGGCTCCCTATGTTGAAAACAACGCGGGTGGTGTATCGGCACCCTCTGTCCCATGATCATTGAAGTGGACATTGGGTGTTCCCCCAAAGGAACATTGTCTTCCAACACCCTCCCGTCAGCTTCCATGATTGCTCAAGAGAGTGTATATCCGAAGTAGGTTGAACCCCCACCGTGTAAAGCATAAACAGGAAGACCCATATGAAACACCTGGCAACTTACTACTTGGATGCTTAGTGAGTTGGACGGATGAAGGAGTTCTGAGCTATGTCTAGGTTCATCCAACGACGACGCAGTAAAAAAGACACATGTTTTTCCAAGTTTCGATGATGATGAAAATCATGGGCAAGAACCATCGTGCATAAATAGTGAAACCGACCCAAATATGCAGCCATTGGCAACAGCAAATTTGTGAGATTCCCATAAGATTTATGGAATGAAACTCCTCCTCGGCTGGGCTTCTGGACACGGAAGTGGAATCGAGGCCAGAAAACCAACCCAGTCAGGGGGGCGAAGATGCCCCAATGCTGCGCATGCTGCAAAAGCAATGCCAGAAGGCACATACACTCATGGGCAAGAATCAGTGAGGCTTATTTAATGTAGTGCTCGAAAACGGAAATTATGTTACACTATCAGAACTTATGTTTGGGCCAGTGTTGAAAACATACTGTTCAAAAATGTAACGTGAAGAAGGGGGAGGAAAGCAATTCTGAGAAACTGTGTTTTAAGCGACGCATGCTAAGCCGAATAAGGAGCAACAAACGATTCTAACCATGTGATAATAACGAAAAAATAACGAGTTGCTTGGATGAGGTAGGGGAAATGGTGAAAAAGAGCGCAGGGCCCCTGTTATTTGGCTATGGGTCAAAACCCCGTACCCCCAGTGATCATCCAATCCCCACTAAAATAGGTTCTAAAATGGGTGGTGCACCTACCCCACAATGGTACCAGTGGTGTTGACGGCCATTTTGAGGCAAGGCCTTCGACTCTCAGGGCCTGAGCAGCTGGCCGCGGACTTCGCGGAGCAGAGCTCCCGCGGGCATCTCCACCGCCAGGCCTCTCGACGTTTCGATCGGAGATGCGCCGAGCGCCCAGCTGAGCCGAGCCGCCATAGTCGCAGAGCTTCAGCGTCTGGTGGTCAGGACCGCCCCACAAGAAGTTCTCAGGCCTCAAGTTCCAGTTGCCAGGAATGACAGTTGCGCCACTCGTAAGGCTTCTGTCAGCTGTTCTTAGGCCGATCCATCAAATGCCCCAAATCAAGGTGCATCAAAGCCACTTCGCATTGGCTGATTCCTCGTACCAGTTGGCTTGTGGTTAAATGAGGGCTTGGCTTGATGTCGCGATGCACGATGCCAACGCCCTGCGCGCGGCTGATCTGGGGGTTGGCCCACCCGCAAAACCAATGAAATATTGCCCCCCCCCCCCCCTCCCCTGCCTTTCGTGATTTGCAATTGGCTGAAGCTTGGGGGTAGCACACCAATTTAAAAACATGTTATTCAAAATACTACTTGCGCTCGGCTGGAGCCAACGACTCTGAGGCATCGGCATGTGTGTGCGCCACGCCCAGCAGCATTTGGCGGAAGATCCTGCCACAGGCGACCCGGCAAGAAACGCCAAGTGTCACCTTGTGCCTTCGCCAGTCACCTGAGCCGCGCTCAAGTGCCGGCATCAGTGATTCCTGGCCTTGGCTCGTTGCGGGCCACGAGCAAGAACATTCTAGGGGGCTAAATCGCAATCCGTACTCTGCCTAATCCTTGTTCTGGTGGGCAAATTGTTTAATCCGCACTCCGCGCTGCAAATTGCGGGCCAAAGCCTCATGCTGGAGCGTCGAAAATTCCTGCAATCCACAATCGACAATCCGCAAGCCGAACAATCTAGTCCGTCAACCGCATAATCTGCAATCCGCTCATCATTGGGACTTGGGCCTTGGACAAACCTACGCAACGGATTGAGGCCAAAGCAACGCTCGCACACCATCAGGCTGATCTCGTCGTGCCAGACATGGTGGAGCCGCACCTGTGGTTCCATGCACGAGGCAAGGCTCCGCTCCGGCTCCGGCGCCCGAGGCTGCGGCCACGAAGGGGCTGCTGGAGCAGGCCTGGGGAATGACCGAGGGGCCCTTCCAAGGCCCCGCTCAAGGGCCGGCCTTCCACAGGGCAGCTTCTTCCTGGTTCGGCACAGCCGTGATCTTGACGGCGAAGCCCTAGGAGTGGTGGAGGGAAAGCAAAGACGTCACTTTTGGAGGTTTTGCCCAGTTGCCCTGTTTGGACAGACGCACCATATTTACCTGCATATACTGCTGTCAAGGGAACAACATTGCGTCACGGAGCACATGAGGCTCGGTCAAGCTGTGTCAACTTGGGAGAGGTCTTGCGGGGAGCCACAAATTTCCCTAACACGGACAGTTTGGAATTTTGGATATGGGAACGGGGATTGGGAAACACCATCCGTGTTAATGGTGACCCCCGGATTAACGCCCCTATTCATCAACCCAGGGGATGTTTTCTCCGGGTTCGCATTTCCAATTTCCCCCGTTCACAATGCGCCAGGGTCTTCCGTTGGCAGAAGTCCTGAACGGACGTTTCAACCCAAACTTCAAACAAAAGCAAAGACGAGAAAGTACAAGCTTGAGTCTCGCCAAGGTTTAGGGTCTAGGGTCGGGTCTTCCACTCCAACTTTCTGGATTTATCCCTAATTGGCTGAGGTAGGGATAGCTTCCCCGTTTGGCTTCACAAGGAACTGGGGCCCAAGTCCGCAATCACCAACCCAAAGCGCCAAACATGCCTGACACTTGGCCCGCTGAAAACAAAAGAGCAAACAAACTTCTGAGATAAGCCTTGAAGGTTTCGCATCCAAGAAAAGTATGTCTTGCGACAACTAGATCCCTTGCCAAACTATTCGGGCGCACTCAAGGTAAACCCGTCGCGAATGGGCACAAGGAGACTGTCCGTGGAAAACTCGAGGACTTAAACAAAGAAGATATGCGGCAATTCACCAACTCACCAACCATGAAAGACTTCTTAAAGGACATCGAACTGAAAACAAGAACTGCACAACCTGCATCAAGGGTTTCGCTGAAGGGAAAAACAAATCTGCAAGGGCTGGAACGCTGATCATCTAGGTAACCCTGTCCTGGAAAATGGCAACATGGTCTAACCCCCATCCCCCAATTCCATGTTCAAGGGGGATATGCTAAGAAACCGTGGGCAAAAAGAGAACATGCCTTCATCCTCGGTAAACCAGGCTGCTTGCCCTGTCGGACTCCCGTGCGAAGAAAAGACTTGCAAAAGCACCCGCTGGAAAACTAAGAGCTGTGCTGATGTGCGCCCTCGTGATGGCTTAAGGGAAACCAACAGGAAAGAAGCTGACTCGCGGAAGATGCTACAAGCCGACCAAAAAGGCCATTCTAGGTCCGTTTACCTTTCTCAAAATTGCTCCCTTGCAAATTCTCGGCGCAAACACAGCGGGGCACCCAAAGAGGACGGACGCCTTTAAAATGCGTGATCGCTCGGTTCACCCCCGCCCACCAAGAACACGCTTGCCAACAACATCAAAACATAGCAACAGCCAATTAAATGGGTTGTGTCAAAATAGGGAGACCCAACAAACTATGGTTGCATTTTCGGGACGAATTCCTGCAACCAACTGCCCTCACCCCTTGCCTTCTGCAGTGCGAAGACGGTGCCAAACGCGCCTGCAACACTGCGAGGGATTTGGCACGCGCACACCGGCGCTAACAAACCACCAGCCAAGAACGGCCTTTTCCCAGGACTTCCATCAGCTCGAAGTCGTCCTGATCGCGAAAAGGAAAGTCGCGGGAAGACAAGCAAAGATTCATGAGCCTTCCCTTTGAAACGCTGTTTTCGTTGAACCCAGTTCCAAGAGCACAAGTCAAATTTGCTCTTGAAACACACTTGTTACCAACCACACAGCTAACAGCAACTGCACGTTACACACTACGATCCAACTGACTGCGCGCACACACACACACACATCTTCCAACAGCATGCACCTACATCTGCTTTTCGCGTGGTATGAACACGTTGCCCTCATGATCAGTCACCCCACTAATAATAAGGTGACTGAATCATACCTCACCTGTGTATCACACTTCATTGTGCCAACAACGTACTTCTAGCTTGAGCCGCCTTAGCAGCTCATGAACTAATGAAACAGGAAACTACGCAGCATTCACGCTGGCTACACATCCCTGCTTGCAGGCGTTCTACACTAGCAACACATCTTGCTGAAGGTTGAAGTGCTTGCACCCCCTTCATGAGCACTTTGTGCTCATTCACTAAAAAACCCAAGAACTTGTAGTTAGGAAGCATTCACAAGCACAATAAGCTGAGGAATGCCCATTCACTAGAACATACATCCACTGGACAAATAGCGACTGCTTTTCTTAATGAGGCTGAGCTTGCAGCATATAATATAACCTCATGCAAATCCTGACCCTTCCCAAGTCGCCTCCATGTTCTTGCCAGCCGTTGCTTTTGCCAAAGCGGCCCTTGCTTCTTGTCGGATCTTAAGCTCAGCCAGCTCTTGCCGAGGTTTCTTCAGTACCTGCAGGGGTCAGGATTGCAAGCCCTCCATTGAAATTCTGAAAATAGTCTGGCGGTTGGCGCCAAATAGATTTTAATCCCTTTCCCCCAATTAATAAATTCCTCTTTTTGTCCAGACTGCCGGATCCCCAATACTCCTTGAGAACAGGCCAATGCTAAACAAACGCTAAGCCTGCCGATTGCGCGGCAACCCCGCCACCTGTCATTAATTGCAATTTCAATCTGAGATTGCACGTTGGAAACTGCGATTTCGAGGGTGCGTGTCCAGGAAAGGGGGGGAACCCATTTAGACGAGGACCGACGAGGAAATCTGATCAACCCCAAATTACCCTATTAATACATATTGTTTGCCGCCCTTAATAGATTAGGGGGAAGGGATTACTGAGTGGACAATGCTTAGTTGGTTCAAAGGCTGGTCCATACAAATCAATGCAGCTGCAGGGCAAAAACATCCCAGAACAAGCACGGAGCTACAACTCCCTTGATGGGTCCCCTTTCGCTATTCCGACTTTGCCACCGCCTTCCCTGTCCGCCATCCTGCCTGGTCAGGAAGGCCGCGAGCCTCTGCCTTCTCGATGGCTGCCTGCAACGCCTGCGGATCGGCCGCCTGCGCCGCTGCACGCAGCGCCATCGCGGCATCATGATCCGCGAGTCGCTGAAGCTCCTGCAACTTCTTCTCCGCTTCAGCCACGAACGCCGCTTTCACCTTCTTCTCTTTGGCTGCCGCGATGGCCGCTTTGAGGGCCTGCGCCAGAGCAGGTGAAAGCGTTTCCTATGGGGAATCATCCTCACAAAAAGGAGAAAAGCTGAAAAGTCAGCAACCTTTCCACTTTCGGAAGAAACCTCACTGAGCCTAGCAAAATGCATGTTCTGCCGTGTTGGTGGCAAGGAAGGGAAATATCTGGTGCCTGAAGATTCACTCGCCTTGTGCCCCTAGCCGCTTCCTGCAGCCTAGATTTGGAGTCAAAGGCGTTTGCCCCTAGCACGCGATCACCGGCAGTAGCGCCCCATCCTTCCCATGTCGCCTCCATGGCCTTTCCAATCGCTGCGCTGGCCAAAGCGACATTTGCCGCTTCTCGGCGGTTCATCTCGGCCAGGAGTTCAAGAAGTTTCTTCAGTTCCTGCAGATCCAGCGAAACTCTGCAAGATAGCTGGTGGCTCGAGGAAAAAGGCAAGTAGGGAGTGGACAATGCTCAAATGGTTCAAAAGCATGCCCTTGCAACACCTGCAAAAACAGCCCAGATCAAGCACGGAGCATGCCGGGAGCTCCCCCATCCAGCCTGGTCAGGCGGGCCGCGAGCCTCTGCCTTCTCGATGGCCGCCTGCAACGCCTTCGGCTCGGCTGCCTGCACCGCCGCACGTAGCGCAGCTGTCGCCGCATCACGATCCGCGACTCGCTGAAGATCCTGCAGCTTCTGTGAGGTTTCTTCTTAAAGTGGAGATGCTGACTTCTCAGAATTGAAATCGGACCAGCAAGTGCACAAGTGCAGGAGTCCTCAAGGGGCAAAGGGGTTGATAGGGTCGCAGGTGTAGGAACTATTTTAATATTTTTCTTGATTGGGCAACCAAACTGGACACTAGAAGTTGGTGAGGATGGTTCCCTATTAAAGGGGGAAGCTCTTGCTTGCAGACCCTAAAAGCGGCCATTGATACAGCCAAAGCGAACAAGGTGAAAGCATGCTCTGCCATGTTGGTGGGAAGGAGGGGAATACAACCGTTTGCCTAAACATCTCCCCTTGAGCAATCACTCACCTTGAGCAGGGTTGCTGCAAAACCTGTGACCTGACACTTCCTCTGAGCAGAAACGTCAAAAAAGGGCGGGTGCGCCTAGCACAGGATCACCTCCCCTGTTCAAGTTTCCTTTGAAAGCCTGTGCAATGCCGGCTACTGCCCCCATCCTTCCCAAGTCGCCTCCATGTCCTTTCCAGCCGATGGAGCAGCAATTGCCTCTCGGCCGTTCAGCTCGGCCAGGACTTCACAAGGTTTCTTCAGTTCCTGCAGGCAGCATTGAAAGCCCTCCAAGCAGATCCATTGAAATGCTGCAACATAGGCTGGTTGTTCGAGGAAGAAGAACAAGTACTAAGTGGGCAATGCTTAGATGGTTCAAAACCTGGCCCCTACACGTGCTGAAAGTTCATGCAAATCACTGCACTGGCAACACCACCTAAGGAGCAAGGGCAAGACAGACAGACAGACAGACAGACAGACAGACAGACAGACAGACAGACAGACAGACAGACAGACAGACAGACAGACAGACAGACAGACAGACAGACAGACAGACAGACAGACAGACAGACAGACAGACAGACAGACAGACAGACAGACAGACAGACAGACAGACAGACAGACAGACAGACAGACAGACAGACAGACAGACAGACAGACAGACAGACAGACAGACAGACAGACAGACAGACAGACAGACAGACAGACAGACAGACAGACAGACAGACAGACAGACAGACAGACAGACAGACAGACAGACAGACAGACAGACAGACAGACAGACAGACAGACAGACAGACAGACACAGACAGACAGACAGACAGACAGACAGACAGACAGACAGACAGACAGACAGACAGACAGACAGACAGACAGACAGACAGACAGACAGACAGACAGACAGACAGACACACAGACACACAGACACACAGACACAGAGACCCACAGACACAGACAGACAGACAGACAGACAGACAGACAGACAGACAGACAGACAGACAGACAGACAGACAGACAGACAGACAGACAGACAGACAGACAGACAGACAGATAGGTATATATAGGTAGATAGGGAAGTAGGTAGATGGAGAGGGAGAGTAGATAAATAGGCAGATGGAGATAGACAGATAAAAGGATACACAGATAGGTTGAGAGAGAAACAAAGAAACGATAGATAAGATAGATAGATAAGATAGACAAGTTAAATAAGAGAAATATTATGATAGAAAACAAGATGGATAGATAGATAGATAGATAGATAGATAGATAGATAGATTAGATACATAAATAGATAGATAGATAAGAAAAATAGATAGATAGATAGATAGATAGATAGATTAGATAGATAGATTAGATAAATAGATAGATAGATAAGAAAGAAAGATAGATAGATAGATAAATTAGATAAATAGATTAGATAAATAGATAGATTAGATAGATAGATAGATAGATAGATAGATAGATAGATAGATAGATAGATAGATAGATAGATAGATAGATAGATAGATAGATAGATAGATAGATAGGATGGATAGATAAGATAGATGGATAGATAGATAGATAGATAGATAGATAAGAATAGAAAAGATTAGGCAAGATTAGATAAGATTAAATAGATTAGATAGATTAAACAGATTAGATAGATTAAATAGATTAGATAGATTACGTAGATTAGATAGATTAGATAGATTAAATAGAATAAATAGATTAGGTAGATTAAATAGATTAGATAGATTAGATAGATTAGATAGATTAGATAGATTAGATAGATTACGTAGATTAAATAGATTAAACAGATTATAGATGGATATAAATAGATATAAAAGATATAGATAGGTATAGATAGATATCGATAGATAAGATATATATTGATAGATATTGATAGATATAGATAGATATAGATAGATATAGATAGATATAGATAGATATAGATAGATATAGATAGATATAGATAGATGTAGATAGATAGATGTAGATAGATAGATAGATAGATAGATAGATAGATATAGATAAATAGATAGATAGATAGATAAATAGATAGGTTTCCTTCAGGGGAATCATCATGCCAGGACGTCTTGCACAGTACGGGTCTTTCCGGAATGATTCGGTAATGAAGCCAGGCTTTGGTCCTTCAAGGAATCCTCCAGTTGGATGTTCTTCTTGGGCTCATTCGTTTCTCATTCCCTGAGAACCAGCAAAATGAACCATCCCCTGCTGAGTCTGAGCAAGTCGAAATCCGCGAGTCTCGCACCGTTCAGAAACCTTTCTTTTTAGATGGGGAATCAGAAGGGTTTCTGAACGGTCCATCCGCAGTAAGGTACCCCCAAAGAATGGCCTCGGGACCCAACTTGGATGAAATTCAGGAAACAGTTTGAAAAGCGAGATTAACCCACGAACGCCGTTTTTTGATGGTGGTTTGAACATCAGGGTTGAGGTACAACCACTTAAACTTCACAACTGAGACGTTGGTTTGTGCGACCGGACCGTTATATAAACTCTCTGCGGCACGGCGTGCGCAGTACCGGTGGTACCTGGATTAACCACTATAAAACCAGGTAGACTCCTAACATGGGCCCCCAACACGCATAGAAAACCAGGCGCTTAGCCACCTCTGGCCCGTTGAGCCCTTCGGGTCTCCGTTTGTCCCGCTCCTGGTGCCAGCGCTTGAGAATCATCGCGCCGGGCCGCTCCGCCGACCCTGACGCCGCCTAGAAACGGGGTCCGGTTCACCAAAGGAAGTCGAGGTGCCGCAGGGGAAGTGCGAGGAGCATGAATGATTCAGACTCGCCAAAAGCAACTCCAAATTTCTTGGTGAGTTGGAAATTTTGGGAGTTGGCTTTTGGGGAAATCATTCACGCAGGTGAGTGTTGGCAATTTCGGGATTCGACAGGCCGGGAGTGAGTTCAACCCTGGTAGGTGCTAAACATGATTCTCACACACGTGCTTACTTGCTTGCTTAGTTGGCTGAACATCCAAATGATGGTGTCCAAGCCAAACGTGCCAATTGGAACAGAAGTAGGCGCGGAGTAGAGAAAAAACAACTGGAGGCCAAACCCATGGCTTGAAGTCGAAAGGAGGCACATGAGGATAAGAGCAAAGGGAGGGTTGATGTGAAAACCGCCGAACGGGACGACGGAGTGCCAGGAGACAAAGCCGCACAGCTGTTGACAGGTATGAGTTTTTCGGCGTCATGATATTTCTCAAAGTCGAGAACTGCGACCATCGTAGTATGATCTTAGAACCATCCGCAGAAAATGCTCCAAGTCTCACACCTGGCCATATACTTGCGTCATGATGATGGGAAGAAAAATGGGCTTGGAACAGGGTGGTTTGGACTTGGCCCTGGCTCGGTGTATCAAATTTCAGGGCTTTTTGTTCGGGCCCACCACAGACTTTGGTAAGGCCCTAAGCCAAAATCAAACATCCGCCGACCCCTCGCTAAAGAGGGGAGGCGCACGGGAAGGGAGGCTGGCGCATGAGCATAACCGAAGATTCATCCTCATCAGCATCATCATCAATACTTATCAATTATCCGTATGATCATCATGATCTCTGATTCTGCAGCATTGGTAATGCAGAGGGCGCTACGATGATAGTTATGATGACAGTCATGGGCGGCTTTGGTACTGTAGAGGAAATCATGTGAAACTTTTTCTTCTATACATTTCAAATGTGGCGTTAGGCACCCTTGGTAATGCAGAGGATGCTACGATGATAGTTATCATGACAGTCATCTGCAGCTTTGGTAATGCAAAGGATGCTACGATGATAGCGATCATAAGAGTCGTCATCCTTATCATCTTCATGATGATTGTCATCATAGTCAGCGCCTTCATCATCGTCATCATGATTGTCATCATCCTATCATCTCTTTCTTTTATACAATTCAAATGTGGCGTTAGGCACCCTTGGTAATGCAGAGGATGCTACGATGATAGTTATCATGACAGTCATCCGCAGCTTTGGTACTGCAGAGGATGCTACGATGATAGTTATCATAAGAGTCATCATCCTTATCATCTTCATGATGATTGTCATCATAGTCATCACCGTCATCATCGTTATCATGATTGTCATTATCATCTTTCTTCTATACATTTCAAATGTGGCGTTAGGCACCCTTGATAACGCAGAGGATGCTACGATGATAGTTATCATGACAGTCATCTGCAGCTTTGGTAATGCAGAGGATGTTACGATGATAGTTATCATAAGAGTCATCATCCTTGTCCTCTTCATGATAATTGTCATCATAGTCATCACCTTTCTCATCGTCATCATGATTATCAGCATCATCTCTTTCTTCTATACATCTCAAATGTGGCGTTAGGCACCCTTAGTAATGCAGAGGATGCTGCGATGATAGTTATCATGACAGTCATCCGCAGCTTTCGTAATGCAAAGGATGCTACGATGATAGTTATCATAAGAGTCATCATCCTTATCATCTTCATGATGATTGTCATCATAGTCATCACCGTCATCATCGTCATCATGATTGTCATCATCATCTCTTTCTTCTATACATTTCAAATGTGGCGTTAGGCACCCTTGGTAATGCAGAGGATGCTACGATGATAGTTATCATAACCGTCATCCGCAGCTCTGGTAATGCAGAGGATGCTACGATGATAGTTATCATGACAGTCATCCGCAGCTTTGGTAATGCAGGGGATGCTCCGATGATAGTTAGCATAAGAGTCATCATCCTGATCATCTTCATGATCATTGTCATCATAGCTATCACCGTTATCATCTTCATGATAATTGTCATCATCATCTCTTTCTTCTATACATTTCAATTGTGGCGTTAGGCACCCTTGGTAATGCAGAGGATGCTACGATGATAGTTATCATGACAGTCATCCGTAGCTTTGGTAATGCAGGGGATGCTGCGATGATAGTTATCATGATTGTCATCATAGTCATCATCTTCTTCATCGTTATCATGATTCTCATCATCATCGCTTTCTTTGACCAGGGCCCCAGCTTGAGCAATTCCTTCAATGAAATCATATGAAACTCATATGAAAACACACACTTTTAACCTGGGTCCCAGCCTGAGCAAATCCCTTAAACGAAATCATACGAAACTTTTCCTTCTATACATTTCAAATGTGGCGTTACGCACCCTTGGTGATGCAGAGGATGCTACGATGATAGTTATCATGACAATCATCCGCAGCTTTGGTAATGCAGAGCATGCTACGATGATAGTTATCATAAGAGTCGTCATCCTTATCATCTTCATGATGATTGTCATCATAATCATCGCCTTTATCATCGTTATCCTGATTGTCATTATCATCTTTCTTCTATACATTTCAAATGTGGCGTTGGGCACCCTTGGTAATGCAGAGGATGCTACGATGATAGTTATCATGACAGTCATCCGCAGCTTTGGTAATGCAAAGGATGCTGCGAGGATAGTTATCATAAGAGTCATCATCCTTATCATCTTCATCATGATTCTCATCATGGTCATCACCGTCATCATCGTCATCATGATTGTTCTATATTCTACTTCTATACATTTCAAAACTGGCGTTAGGCACCCTTGATAATGCAGAGGATGCTACGATGATAGTTATCATGACAGTCATCCGCAGCTTTGGTAATGCAAAGGATGCTGCGAGGATAGTTATCATAAGAGTCATCATCCTTATCATCTTCATGATGATTGTCATCATAGTCATCACCTTCATCATCGTCATCATGATTGTCATGGTCATCTCTTTCTTCTACACATTTCAAATGTGGCTGCTGGTGATGCCAGACACGTTTTCTTGCCACACGATGCCCTTCTATCTCGTCAAGAAACAGCAGCTCTCAGGTTCGCTCTCTACCCCCCCATCAGCCGCAGTATCCTGCGCATTACCACAGGCGATGCTGGTGACGTTTTCTTGCCACACGATGCCCTTCTATCTCGTCAAGAAAAAGCAGCTCTCAGCCCCGCTCTCCACCCCCCCATGAGCCGCAGCATCCTCTGCATTATCAATGGACACGCCCGGGCGATGCTGGTGATGCCAGACACGTTTTCTTGCCACACGATGCCCTTCTATCTCGTCAAGAAAAAGCAGCTCTCAGCCCCGCTCTCCACTCCCCCATGAGCCGCAGTCGCGCCTGGCGTCAGCACGCAAGCAAGCATAGGCTAGGGAGGACCCTGGCTTCTGGTTCAACTACATGACCATGAACATGTCACACAAAAATGAACATGTTGCGAAGAAGAAGCACGGGTCGTTCTGGGCGCCGCCTCGCCGTCGCGAAAAGCACCGCTTTGGCGCAGCTCGCGCATGTCCAACAGCCTCGTTCTTTTTTGCTGCATGATTGGCGAAGTTCCTGCAGTCGCAGCGTGTCCCGGATAGCCCTTGGCTTCTTGGCTGCAATTGCTGCTTCTGCTGCTTGCTAGCTGGTGCTCCTCGCTTTTCTCCCACCAGGCGCCAGACCTCTGCTAGGATTCTCTGCTTTCGTTTCGCCCGTGTTCTCACAAGTCGCTCTCGACTTCTCCGGGCAGTTCGTTTCAAGTCACGCTCCGCTAAACATATGTCGCACGTCTGTTTGCCGTTCTGGGCGCTGCCTCGCCGTCGCGAATGAAGAGTCCAAAAAGAGAAACGGAGGAAGCCCTGTGAGATCCCGAAGGGGGAGGGGGTGGGGTCTGATCATGACTCAAGTACGCAGGGCTGTAGCTCGGCTACTGGGGTTCAAGTCTACAGTGAAACCAAAAAAAGCATCAAAAATTGCACTGTTTTTTGCTCGAAAACCACAACTAAATCCAGGGGTCGGCGGCACCAGCCCTTAAATCCGGGCGCCCTGTGCCCGTGGTTCCCCGGAGGCCTTCGGTTCCCTCTAACCGAAGGTTATAAGGCTCGCGCCCCCTTGCGCCGACCCACTCTAGGTTCACTCTAGGTTCACTCCACGTTCACTCCGTGTCGAACGGAGGCTGCATTCACTGCTAAGGGCGAAGGATTTGTGAATTTGTTCAGGCGATTTTTGACGACTTGTTGAGCATATCACCTGCATCGTCCGTATCCATGGCGGACATTGATGCGGATAAGGCCGGCGATGCGGGGGATTGCTGATATTGTCCCCTGAGTCGGGCCAATTTTGCCGAGAACGTGCAAAAACACAGTGTTTTTGAAGGTTTTTGGCGGGCGCAAAGGTGGAAAATATGGAAACCTGCTTAGCAGGCAGGCCTCAACGGTCCCGCGACTTTTGGTAGGCTTTTCGGTGAACCGCAGAAAAAACACTGTGTTTTCGATAGTTTTGTATGGATCCAAGGCCGGGCGCAAACATGGAAAATGTGGAAACCTGCTTAGCAGGCAGGGCTCACCTCTCCCCGGCCGAACCCGATTTCTGGCAGCGTTTTGGCGAACCAGTAGAAAAACCGAGTGTTTTTGCTGGTTTTGTATGGGTTCCAGGCCGCGCGGTTGCACAGCACGTGGAACACTGACGCTTTTCGGGGCGCCCGGCTGTCAGGCGTAAGCCCTTAAATCCGGCTACGCCTCCTTGGGGTAGCATGTCGCCGCTAGGCAATTAGCCTGCTAGCTTTAGCTATAGGGGGTGCACCCTGGTGCCGCCGACCCTTGCCACTTGGTCGTGATGCGCGGCCTAAATCCGGCACCTCTGCATCACCAGCTCGGGCATGCGGTTTTGCTTGCCTGTGGGAAACCCTCGCAAAACATCGCGTATATGCAGGGTTTAGGCCATGTGGCTGACATCATCGGGGCTTGGTCTGCATCATCCAAACTTCCTTCCAAAAAGCCTCTCAACCAAAAAAGCACTGTTTTTTAGAAGGTATCGGAGGGATATAAGCGAGGCTCATTTTCGCGCATTTTGGCGCCACGCGCTGCCGGGCATGCCGGCGATGCTGGGCCCTCGCTCTACAAAACGCTGTAAATACTGTCAAAAACTGCTGTGCTGAGCGGTGGGCTGCGTTCTGTCCGTTTTGCTTTTGCTGTGGCTGGCTCGCGTGCTGCGCGGCCCTTGCTTTTTTCGCGTTGGTTTTGGGGCCTTTTCGCGCGCGCGCGCGCGACCCCAGCCACAAAACGCTGCTATTTACGGCGTTGCTTTTGCGTTTCCGGGCTGGCTTGCGGGCTGTTCTTTTTGGGCTGCTGTTTCTGCGGCCTCTGGCGCGCGCGCGCGCGACCCCATGTGAGCCTTCTGGTTTGGGTCCCGGCTAGGGCCCAGAAAGCTGGCATCCCCGGGGGCAACATGCATAACCTAACCAGCCATATCATAGCACAGGATACGTTTCTCATACAAAAAACATGACATGACTTCAAAGAGGCGCAGCCGGCTAGAGGCCGCAGGCCCAGAAAATAAAACTGAGCAAGAACTGCACAACGAACGTCGTGACAAGGGAACGCAAACTACTCCAGACGCCGCGCAAAACAATTCAAAGCAAGCCTGGACCGGAAACTGAAGCCATCCTTCCAATTCCTCTGTTCGGTTTGTCCGAAAGCTTCGTTCCGGCAAGGTTGGCTGCCTCGTAGTTGGACTTCCTGAGGCCCTTGCGACACGTTGGCTCAGCAGCGTCGGCCCGATGATGTCCGGGTGTGCGAACTCTGAGGGCGACGGCACATCCTAGAGGGGAGAGGCGGCGCACGAAGGATGGTGCGTGCCAAAGCTGGGTAGCTCTTTGCCGCCCTAGAGCAAGGACCTGCCTCAAGGCCAGAATCATGTCGGGCAAATGTTCACTCGGTCGAGGCAGGAAGGGAACACACCCTCACAGTACCGGCAGGGTGTCTTGTCATATGTCTAATACCCCCAATGGCTGAACGTTGGTTAAGCACCCAATTTGGCCTTGGAGTAGTGGCTTAGAATGTGCCCCGAGGCAAATTGTTGAAGGTATGAGCTTGGGGCCTTGCACGATTGGTACACGTGACCCGCACACCCCCCCTGGCGCCTTGCTTTCAAGGATCTTACTTTACGAAAGCAAGCGCAACGCAACGGCAGCGTACCTGTTCGCCTGTATCATAACGGCTCACTTCCTTTGTAACCGTGATGAAAAAAACTACCTCTTTTTTTTTCAGGAAGTGGACAGGGGGCCTTTTGAGATGACGGTAGTCTTCTCAAATCCTCCTGTCCGCTTTCATGCTCTTGATCAACTAGGGGGGTGTTACTCCTGGGTCAACATGAACAATGATGAAGTCACCTACTTGGGTCTCTCTTTTTTAGGGTACCCCCTAAAGAGATTTCGGTGTCCCTTTCGGTTCCCCTTGAAACCACCAAAAAAAGAGGGTACCAACTCAAAAAGACACAAAAATGCAAACTCCAGAGGAAAAAAATGGAAACAAAAGAAAAAAACAAAACATCCTATCTTAGGACCCACCCACTTCCCATCTTAACACACCCACCCATTTGGGTACGAATGTTAATGATCTAGGTGCGGATTCATGCCCACCAATCACTTGTGGGGTGGTTCTCTTATAGATTCGTGGCCATTTAAAACCCTCACCCATTTTGGGGGGGGTCCGCAGCTCTTCAGACCCGCCATCCCGTGCCGCATCGCGCCTTGCCGACGCGGCTCGGCCCGAGCATCCCCGGCCGAATCAGCGCTTCCACCTGCGGGGATGGCGCTTTAAGGCCCATGTGGATTTGTAGAGGAAAATGTCCCTTCCCGGAACTCCCACTCGCGGTAGCTCCGATGTCGGCTCCCTCTTCGAAAGCAAGTTTGGATACCTCCTTGGCTCCCTTCCAATCCCAAGCCAGTTGGGGTAGCTGGGTTCAAATGCCAAATTTCGTGGGAAACAAGAGGTCGGTCACCCCTTTTTTTTAGTAGATATTAAGTGGAACCCCCTCCAGCCCTGAAATTGCAACAAAAGGCGAGCCTTATTCATGTTCAATCAGTCAATCTGTTTCAAATGTTTCTTCATTTAGAAGGGGCTTAATACGGATTGATTGCTTGATAAGGCTTAGTAAGGCTTAGTAAGGCTTAATAAGGCTTATACCGCTTAACATGGCTTAATAAGGCTTGATATGGATTGGTGCTTTGTCGGGAGGCCCTTCCTGGACCCATGAAATTGTCTGCGCCAGGATCTTGCACAGCGAACTTGCGTCAGCCACTTGCTCTGAAACAACTCGATGATGTCAATCATCCGCAATTCGCGGCCCAACCTGGCACCCCCTGAAGTATACTCAGCCTCAAACTGTTCGAAAGCTAAGCTTTGATCTTTCACAGAAATATAGGTTTCGTCTCAAATCAGGGGAACCCCAACAAACGAAACCAAAAAAGAGTTACCTCAAAAAAGACAGACCAGAGGCTGTCACACAGAAAGGAAGGAAAAGAAGGAAAGGAAGGAAAGGAAGGAAAGGAAGGAAAGGAAGGAAAGGAAGGAAAGGAAGGAAAGGAAGGAAAGGAAGGAAAGGAAGGAAAGGAAGGAAAGGAAGGAAAGGAAGGAAAGGAAGGAAAGGAAGGAAAGGAAGGAAAGGAAGGAAAGGAAACAAATGAAACAAAGGCAACCAAGGTAACAAGGAAAGAAAGCACGAAAGAATGACAGAAAAGAACATCAAAGGAAAAGAAAAGCAAGGGAAGAAACCAAAGCAAAAGAAAAGAAAGGGAAGAAAGAATGAACAAATGAAAGTAACGGCGTGTCGCTTTGCAAGTGCGGTCGCAGGCCTTCTCAGACATCATCCGGCGAACCAGATGATGCTGGTGAGTAAAACTGAAAACTCGTTCAGCGCAAAGCCCAAAAGCCGAAGTATGGCACTGTGCTTCCTATTCAAAAAGACTTCGTGCGGTATAGTCCTGATCTGGCTCAACATCAGCAGTGGCCCCAAAAACACGGGTCAGCGATGACAAAACACTGGCCGCAAACTTCTCGGTCAAAAGCTTCTCTTTAAAAAATGTCACCCTGGAGCTCGACGTCAACAAATCCGAGCTTTGAATCCCAACCAGGCAGCCATCACCCACAGGTTGTTGATGCAGCTTCTGATGTAACCTTTGCTAGGTTGCCCAATTCTGTGACAAACCCACATGCCTGCGGAGGCAACTGCCGCTCGGCGTCAGCCTGGCAACGCACAGCCCAGGAGCAAGGTGTCAAAGAAAACAATACAATACTAACTAGAATGATCCTCTATGTGATGTCTAACAAAAACTAGAGGACGATTGGCCCGAAAGCATTTTTCCCCAGGTGCTCATCCAGCCGCGGAGACACCTTTTTACATCGCTGCGGCGAGCGTGTCCGCGCGCGGCGATGCTCAATGCGTATGGTCACATGAGAGCTCCATCTCATCGTCCTACGAGAGGAAACATGGCAGTGCTCGATCCCACATATTTACATCCGTTAAAACAAGAAGAGTAAAGCTCGTAAAGCTCGAAACGAATTACAAGCAAAAGGAAGAGCAATCAATAGCAAAGCTTACACGACGGCCACAGTTTCTGCAAAGCACGCTCGCGCAACTTAGCTCTGTGCAAGATGGCTCTGCGCAGCTTGGCTCTGTGAAAGTTGGGTCTACGCAAGCTACTTTTCGCGAGTGGCTCTGCGCAACTGGCTCTGTGCAAGTTGGCTCTGCGCGAGTCTGCTCGGCGCAATGTGCTTTGCACGAACTGCGCCGCGCGATTTCTCACGAAAGTGGTCTGCGCAAGCTGCATCGTTCCAGGCTGCTGCGCGCAAGTTCCTCTCTGCAAGCTGCTGCACGCAAGCGCTCTATGCAAGTTGCTCTGCGCAAGTGCTCTGAGCAAGTTGCTCTGCGCCAGTTGCTCCGTGCAAGCGCTTTGCGCATGTGCTCTGTGCAAGTTGGTCTGTGCAAGTTGCTCTCCGCAAGTGCTTTGTGCAAGTGCTCTGTGCAAGTTGCTCTGCGCAAGTTGCTCTGCGCAAGTTGCTCTGAGCAAGTGCTGCCGGAGCTGTGGGAATGTACTTCGCGTACTATTTTTTTGTACTTAAAAGTTGTGATTTTCCAGCCGGAGCTGCGGGAGTGTGCTCCGCGTACTACGTTTGTACTTAAAAGTTGCGATTTTCCAGCCGGAGCTGCGGGAGCACGCTCCGCATACTACGTCTGTACTTAAAAGTTGCGATTTTCCAGCCGGAGCTGCAGGAGCACGCTCCGCGTACTACGTTTGTACTTAAAAGCTGCGATTTTCAAGCCGGAGCTGCCGCGGACCAGGGGGGAATCGAACCCGGGACCGCGGGATTGCGAAAGCAGGCGCGCACACCACGAGACAACTTCCAAAAGCCGTTTCGCGAGCAAGAAAATCGCACGGCGCCACAGCGAGAGCGCTTCGACACGCACGATCTCCGCAGAGGGTTCATCGGGCTCAAGACAGATGCGCACGGCGCCACAGCGAGAGCGATCCGACACGCACGATCCCCGCAGAGGGTTCTCGGGCTCAAGACAAATTCGCACGGCGCCACAGCGAGAGCGCTTCGACACGCAGGATCTCCGCAGAGGGTTCGCCAAGGTCAAGACAAATTCGCACGGCGCCACAGCGAGAGCGCTTCGACACGCACGATCTCCGCAGAGGGTTCGCCGCGACCAAGACAGATTCGCGCGGCGCCACAGCGAGAGCGCTTCGACACGCACGATCCCCGCAGAGGGTTCGCCAAGGCTCAAGACAAATTCGCACGGCGCCACAGCGAGAGCGCTTCGACACGCACGATCTCCGCAGAGGGTTCGCCGCGCTCAAGACAAATTCGCACGGCGCCACAGCGAGAGCGCTTCGACACGCACGATCCCCGCAGAGGGTTCATCGGGCTCAAGACAAATTCGCACGGCGCCACAGCGAGAGCGCTTCGACACGCACGATCTCCGCAGAGGGTTCGCCGCGCTCGCACGGCGCCACAGCGAGAGCGCTTCGACACGCACGATCTCCGCAGAGGGGTGCGTTTCGTAAGCTCCTGTCGGGCCTACCCCCGCCATAAAAAGAAGAAGAATTAAGAGTCGAGAAGTGAAGGTAGAACAGAAAAGTTAGCTTGTGTTTTTAGGATAGTGAAGTAACACCCGACAAATTAGCTTGTGCTTTTAGTAGAATGAGATAACAGCCGAAAAGTTGACATGAGAAGTTGGCAGGTGAAGTAACTCTCAAAAAGTTGACATGAGAAGTAGGCAGGTGAAGTAACTCTCGACAAGTTGGCATGAGAAGTTGGCAGGTGAAGTAACTCTCGACAAGTTGGCATGAGAAGTTGGCAGGTGAAGTAACTCTCGACAAGTTGGCATGAGAAGTTGGCAGGTGAAGTTGGCAGCCGCTTTTAGAAGAAGAACCCTTCGCAATGCTTCCGGGAAAAATGTGCAATATCCAAATGCAAGTATCATTGTTTATGATTATATTAGTAAACTCTGTTGAAAAATGAACGTTATCGTGGTGATACAAGTAGCCTTCACGAATGGTGTTTACATAGAAAAAAGGCCTATGCGGCGTTTTCCCAGCTTGAGGAGTTGCGCGGAAGTTTAGCTTTTCCAAAATACCTGCATGTGTTCGCTTCTACAAACCATTTTGCAAGGGCTGTGGTTCGAAGCTTGCAACTTCCCAGCCCGAAGCTTAAAAGCGAACTGCGCAGCGCACGAAGAACCCTTTGGCAGGATCCAAGGGTCACGGAGGGAAGCCAAAGCTTCTGCGCGACTTCTGCAGAGCGTATGAGCGCAGAGGTTATGCGGATTTTCTGCACTTGGGCAAAAAAGAACTGTGACATGCAGCTTGACGCAAGGAAACTTGTAACAACATGCTTCTGCGCGCTTTCGACTGTTTAGCTTAGGCTGCCGCAGCCCTCGTCACAAAAGCTTCTCACATGCTCGCAGATTTCTTCGCGTTGTAAGTTTGGACAATGGCATTAATCTGCATCAGGTTTGCCACATTGCCAAGGAGCTCCATGCCATACCCCGTGTCCGCGCGTTGCGGTAATGGTAGTAATGGAGCAAAGCAGAAACGCTGCAACTTTGCGCACGACATCCAGGACCTATACGAACCTTTCGTGACTGGGCAAGTGGTAAAAAGCCTTACGCAAAGCATTCCCGCGACCTCGGAAAAGAGAACTGTGTCAACACCATATTTCCTCACGAATACTACTTTCAGCTGCAAAGGGAATGTAGAACGCTACTGAAACAAGTTGCAACTACAAATAGAAAAGCAGCCCTACAAACCTATAGTTCAACGCAAAGAAAACGATTGCACATGCAATTTGCTTCTCAAGAGCTCAACCCTTGGATCAAAATGCAGTGGGGGGGGGGCGAAGCACCACAAAGTCTTCGCCTTGGTCGACTGTTGCGCGTCGCATTTGCAGGACTTGCAGACCAAGATGTACCTAACGAGACAAATCCAAGTCGCAATCAAAGCCAGAGCATATCAAGGTCCATTTTGGAGTCTTTGTTTAGTTTTTGTGTTTGGAGGCCCTTTGAAACTACCACAAAAGAAATACCCATAAAAAAGCCACACCCATAGAGTCATATAGGCTTTAGGAAGTAGAACCGCCAATAAAAACAGCCAATAGGAGAACGAGTGCCGCAACATACTTAAGATGCCGGGCGTCCTTTTCGGATACTGGGGCGGGCGCGGGGGCGGTGGGGCGGTGGGGCGGGGAGGCGGGGGGGCGGGGGGCGGGGGGGGTTGAGGGGGTGGGCGCGGGGGCGGGGAGGGGCGGGGCGGGGCCGGGAACGCAGTATGCAGGATATCGTGAGAGGCATCCCGCCAACGCGTGGGGCTCAGATCTTAGATGTTGGAGTACTGTGTGAAGGAGTTGCCTAACATGCTGCGGCATCAGTTTTGATGGCCGGGGTCTCCAAGATCTCCTGTGTTGTCTTGCGAGTCTTCCCCACAGTGGGCAAAATGTGTGTTTCTCAAAGGAGGTCGGTACCCTAAACTGGCACCTTTGGGCCTCCCCTTTTCATACACATCAAAGGGGGTCAGGGGGTCCATCATGTTTAGGAACTCACCCAGGTACCGTTGGGGTCCTGGTACTGTGGGCATGGATTGCCTTGGAAATGGCGCCCGAGCGCGGCCAGGGTCACACGAGCAGGGTGGGGACTCCAACCGGCAAGGCCTGCCGATTTCTGCCACATTTGAGGTGGTGACAACCAAACAAACAAGCTGCAAGCATCATTGCCCAATTCCAAGCGTGGCTACGCCAAGTTGGATTACCACAAGGGGTGTTCCAGAACCTGAGCTGTCGGAAGCCCCAGAATAACCGGGTGCTTCGACAAAACACTCCTAACAACAGGTGGACGGTTTTTGGTTCATCTTCAAACTATCCGAAAGGATCCACTAGTTTGAGAACAGCCCGATTTCGACTCTTGGGTCTGGCAAAATGATTGTGAAGGCTTACCTGCATGGCCAGAGAAAATTGCTCAGGTATGGAACAAGAACGAGGAAGGCACCACGGCCACATGATCTTCGGCTGAAAGATCTTGATCTTTCCTCCAACCTCAGAAACCCGGCAGGACGCGTCTGGCAATGAGTGTCTCTTGCGGTTTGGGGGCGGGTAGAAAAGGGAAGCCAAAAGGAAACCCGCCATTTGGGGGGGTTCCCAATCCTATTTTGAGACACACCCCTATCCGGCCTCCAAGAGATTGCACCGCCAAATGCCCGCCTCGAGAAACGCCAAGGCGAACGCAGTTTGCCACATCAGGAGATTTCAAGTGTGAAACCCAGACCACATGTGAGTGTGGATGCTTTTTATTGCAGATTCGAAAATGGCGGACATCATGTAGGGATTGAGATGGTTCCCTCTTTAGATTCATAGCCATGTCCACGGATTTCAGCGGCTTCCCTCGCCTCTGGTGGGACACGGTAGCTGTCCAGGAGAGCCTGGTCCTGTCGCAAGAGACCAGCTACCAAAAATTCGGAAGTCCGAACATGGGGTCACTCAGTCACTCCCCTGCCAACGATGGGTTCTGGGGGTTCAGCCTGGGTTGGCTGGCGGTCCAGCCTCACACAAGCTTTCGGGGACCATTCCCAGACCTGCGACCGGTCCAAACACGCCAACCCTCAACCCGCCCTGTCCCTTGGGCTGCTCTGCCGCAGGGACAGCAACTCCGAGGTGCGGGTCACGGCACGGCGCAGCGACCTGGCATGGCAACGTGTGCCTACTGCCAGCCAGCCATGGTATCATGGTCCTGGCAAATGATCTAAAGAACCCAAAGCGACAAATGCAAACAAACAACGCAAAACAAACCAAACAAGCGCCAAACGGCAAGCAAGCGACAAGCAGCAACACCGACTTCTCCGAGTCTGATGAACGCTGAAATGCCTATCATCTGCACCTGCCAGGCGCAACAAAGCCAGCTGCACATGCCACGAGTCAAAGCCGTCGGCGGCGGTCGCGAAACGTATTGATCCAAAGGGCTGAGGAAGCAGAGAGAGTCTCCGCGTGACATCGCGTGACACCCTCGACATTTCGGGGAGCGTGCCAAAGCGCGACGTGCAAACCTTGTAACATATTTCTCAAAGGTACGGCTTGCCTTCTCTGCTTGACCTTGGCAAATGAAGCCGAAGACTAAAACCTGCTGTTTCCCGAGCTTAATTTGAGCCACACCTATTTAAGGGGCACCCGCAGACAAAGCCCCAAGCCAAGGTGTTCGCGTATTTTTCCCCCTGATGTGTTCCACTTTTTCTCGGCTGGTTTAGGGTTTAGGGCAATTTTTAGGGTGGGTTTAGGGTGGGTTTAGAGTGGGTTTAGGGTTAGGGCTGGTTCAAGTTTAGGGTGGGTGGGCTTCGGGTGGGTTTAGGTCTTTGCGCCCACTACGCGCACTCTGCCTGTTTGCCTACTGCGTGGGGCTAATTGCAACAAAAAACAACTCATTGCACTCATTGCGCTCCACTGATGTCTTCTACTGTGTGCAACATGGCAGGCTCAAAGCAGTCTGAGCATCGAGTGTCCGACAAAAACGGAGTCGAGGAGGATCTGTTTTGGTGAGAGAGTCTCGAGTGGGGACACTTGATTCCTGTCCTTCATATCATAACTTCAACCTTCACTGCAGTTTGCTGCATGCAATTTGCAAGTCATAACGAATTTGATTAACTCGTCTGCCTTCGCTGAGCTCTTCGTCGGGCACTCGGCGAGGCAGTACTCTGGTCTCACGTGAGCAAGGTCGTGCATCTGGCCGCTGTCGCTCTCCTTTCGAAGTCTTGAAAGACTGCTTGCATACCATCGAATATGTCACACAGCATGGTGGAAGGCACTGAGCGCAATGACCTGATTTTTGTTTAATGACCCCAATGCGGAAGTCCAAAAAGCAAAGCACGTACAGCAAGCACAGAGTTCAGAGAGCCAACTGATGTGGCAAGACTACAACTGCTTAGAGCGAATCATACCCCCGAATCGTACCCCATGTCCCTGGGCGGCCAGGAAGAAAAAAAATACAAACCCATTTGTCGCGACGGGGGTTTTTCGGCTCAGATTTGTTGCGAAAAGTTTTTGGCTTTCGACAAGAAGTGGAAGCCACCGCTGGCACACTTTTGCAGCATGTCGCACAATTTCTATCAAGTATGTGGCAACGATGAGAGCATCGCATCGCGACGGCAGGTCGCGTCGGATGAAGCTGGCTATTCGGAATGCGTTGAAGCTGCAGGGAGCTGGGGCGCATGTGCGCAGCACGAACGCGTGCACCTGCCACAACATCGCCGCTAGCGTAAACAAACCACTGCAAACAGCCCACCCGAAGCCGAGCGGTCCAAAGCACTGCGCCTGCCACACAATCGAGCATCGACATGCACAAAGTGAGTAGTGAGTAAGAGTGAGTGGCAATGACAGTTAGTGCGTGGGAGTAAGTGCGAGAGCACGGAATCCGTTCACTTCTCATCCAAGCACGGCCTGGTGTCAAAGCGACCACGGAATGCGTGAAGGGTCTGTTGTGACAAGCAATCAAAACCTGAGTCCAAAAACTTCGGGAGTGCGTTATTGAGAAAAAGCAGAACTCATGGCAACCTGAATGGGAAACGACCCCGTTGGTGATGGTGTTCCTTCTGGTTCCCCTTGTAGCCAACCTTCACAAGTGTACCCTAAAAAACCACAGGCCAAAATACAACCACACAGCCAGATTATTGGAATCACGGAGAAAGCTATGGAAACCGAGTAGGTGCAATCGCTTCTTGAGAGGATTCACAACAAAAAAAGCTATGTTGAGCGCTCACATGAAGCCCAAAAGACTGAATGCAAGAGCTTGGGGAGTTAGTATATGCAGAAAAAACGGAACTCAAGGAAACCCCCTCCCAGAGGTTGAGACGCGCAGGCCCAAATACGTTCGTCTTCGAGTCTCCTTGGGATGCACCTTGAAAACTCAAAGCCACGAGGCTGACAAAAAAACATCCTTCGGCCTCTTCCGGAGCTTTGCGCGTAAAAAAGGCTTCGCCCGAAGCATCGGGCATACTTCAGGTAGGTATCCACTACAGTGAGTCACACCCCAAAGCCCAGCTGTGTGTGTGCTGCACTACATTGCTTGGGCTCTTCTAGATCAAACAAGTTGCGACTCAATCCAAAAAGCAAACAGTGAAGCAGAACAGGGAAAACACAACATGTGTGCACACAATGCAACCCAGAAGCCGAACACACAGGCAGCCTGAGTCCCCCGGGATCTTCCTGAACCAACAGCTGTTCCAGCAGATGACGCCAACTGACAATGCAAAAGCCAAGTATGCCAACCAAAAAAAAAATGGAAAAAATATGAAGAAAAAATAAGAAAGAAAAAAGACTACTTGCACAGCGCATTCAACAAACACATAAAGGCAGCCTGAGCATCCGCAGACCTGTTCCAGCACATGACGTCAACAATGCAAAAGCCAAGTATGCCTATGCAAACAAACATGTGCAACGGTAAAAAAACAACCGCCTGAGCTGCAGACCCCAGGGTTAAGGCACGTTGCACTGCTCCTAGCTTGAACCCAAACATGAAACCTCAAAAGAACAAAGCTCATCCGAAGCGGCCGCAGTTCTTTTTACCGGGATTGCTGAAAGTAGCACTGCTTCCAGGGCACTGGTGCGCCTGGAACAGAAGGCACATTGACCCCCCCGAAATTTGAAAAGGCAAGACAACGCGTGTCCTTGCATACAAATGCAGTGCTTGAGGGGCGCGGCATGCGTGCCCACGCCCCAAGGTCCGGAGACCGAAAGTCTGGAGACTCGAGGTCCAGAGACCAAAGTTGGTCCGGAGACCTGGTCCGGAGACCAAAAGGCCCGGAGGCCACCCATGAAAGTGCAGAGCGTCTGCTACCTATACTTGCAGAGCCTGGTATAGGGCAGTGCAGGGTGGGTGGGTGGGTTTCAAATGAAACCGCAGGTTTGGGTCAAGGCTAGGAGCAAAACGGCCAACGCGTAGTTCGATTCACAACATGCCCTAAACACAAGGGAAAAGAAACCCTAAGCGTTAAGGCACGTTGCACTGCTCCTAGCTTGAACCCAAACATGAAACCTCAAAAGAACAAAGCTCATCCGAAGCGGCCGCAGTTCTTTTTACCGGGATTGCTGAAAGTAGCACTGCTTCCAGGGCACTGGTGTGTTTGGAACAGGAGGCACATTGACCCCCCCTTCAGTGCTTCAGGCAACCCTGGTATAAGCGAGCCCGCTGGGCCGCAGGCCTCATCACCCGCCCTTCTGGGGCAAATGCTAGCGTGGCCATGCACGCTGGGCTGTGAGCAGCCTGTTACGCAGTGTCTGCACTTTTTTCGGTCAGAGCGGCTTGAGTAAGCGGCTGGCTGACGTTGCCAGTTGTTCTGGCTGACAGGGCGACGACGGCCATTTGGTCGCAAGGCATGTCGGGATGCAAATCAGGCTGGTGAAGCAGTGACGGAGCATTTGGCAGCAGAGGCTGCTGCCAAATGCTCCGGGCGCCAGGGCGCATGCATCGGACACAGTTGAATGCCTCGGCCTGACATCGCTAGGCTTGCAGGGCTGAAGCGTATGCGACTTTCTGGGCGATGGCTGAATCGGGCCAACCGACCTCTGCTGAGATCGTCAGCCCAATCATTGCACCTTCCTGGAACGTGCGTCGGCTGCAGCAGCACATTGTGAGCGTGAGCCCAGAAGGCTGTTAATTGCACAAAGAGTTGCAACGGCCAGGAAGTCGTGAACAACTTGTTAAGGCTTGCTTCCGTGGCGGAATTGTCTGTGCCTGAAGGCATGCTAAACGAGTAGTGCCCACCACCAATGTGGCTGTGGGTTGCTTGCAGTAGTGCTAACTGTGCCAGCGTCTCGAAGCATGCGATGTACCGCTGTCCAGGCTTGACAAGGCAAGGCCACACGGCTCTTATGTCTTGCGTGTTCCAGGTCTCGGCAAACCAAACCACTTGGGAGGATGTGATTGCCCAGCCCCCGATCCCTACCAAATCGTCTTCGGCACACGCATCCGCGGCAGCCAGAGCTTGCAGCTGGTGTGGCCGCGCCAAAGGCTGAACAGGCGAGTGCCGAAAGCACGACGCCAGCCAAGTAAGGCATTGTTGGCTTGACTTGGAAAGGCTAGTGTATGGGTTGTTGGGGTCCGCGATGCGCACCCACGTGGGCTTGCTAGTGCCAGGCACTTGCGGGATGTCCTGAGGGCAGAAATTTCCAAGATTTTGGAGCCCACTGTGATCCACAAGCCCGGGAGGCTATGGCTAGTTTTGAGATCCTTGTTCAAGGATGCTCTAAAGGCTGACCACATTTGAGGCGGTATCGGGCGCATCGAGCCTGGTGGGCTGTTGCTAGCCAGGATCTGAGATGTAGGGCAATGCTGGTGGCCCAAATAAGCAGGCCTATGCACTGCTCGAGTGTTTTGCGGGGTACCCGTCGGTTTCCCAGCAGTGATTTGATCAAGGCGTCCAGCTTGGTTAGCTTAGCGGACACGAGCTGAATGGTGTCGTGGGAGAAGTTGATCTCCCAACCGCACCAAACAAGGCTGTCCTGGAATTGCGCCTTTTCCCATGAAATGGGCGCTGCAATGGCGCAAAAGAAAAGCACCACCAAGGCAAACATGTCTGGTGCGCTATCCCGGAAGAGTGCGCACAGAAGGTCGTCCACAAAAAGGAAGGCTTTGTGTGGCTTCCAGGCCAGCAACCCATGCACCTGGCGAAGCAAGAATGCGCCGGCGCGCTGCCACCAGAAAGCCGAGAAACGGCCCCCAAAATGGCACACTCTGTAATGGTAGAGCTTTCCTTGAAAGGCGAAGAGTAGAAGGCCATGCTCTTCAGGGCGGACTTGCACCTGTTTGTGTGCGGCTTTAAAGTCAATGCTGGCGCCTATGAAGGCGCCTCAATTGTCTTCTGGCTGCGTGGACAGCGCCAGGTCCGATGCCGTTGGCAAGCTCAGGCGCTCTGGCAGATGGCATCTGGTATTCACTTGGCACACGGTGCTGTCCAAGACAAGGCGCGGCTCTTTCCGTTCTGCAAAAACGACATTTAAGGGCCATTTTTCCCGAGCGTCGGCTATGCTAAGGCTGGTTTCAACAATCCAGTTGTTGGCAATTTCATTGCGCAGCAAGCCTTGCACGGTTTCTGGCTCGTCTTCGGCCATCTTCCAGTTGCCCTCACAAATTTCCAGATCCGGCGGCAGCGCGGAGTCTGGCTTTTTTGCCGGCCATTGAAGGCTGGGTGGCAAGGCTGACACGGCTCCTGTCGGTACTCCGTGTTGCAAAAATGGCAGGAGGGCCACCCCAAGATTTGGCCAGGGCCTGCAGCAGGTGGAGTCGGTATGGCTGTCCTGCCTCGGGGCTCATGTCTGAAGGGCAGGGCAATTTTAGAGCGGTGTATGCTAGAGTTGCCACTTCCAGGCTTTCGGACGGCAAGAGGGGGCAGTCCGGAGAACCGCTTTTGATGTGTGCCAGGATTCGTGGCACCAGTTTGCGCTCATGCATCCAATGCAGCCAGGGCCTGGCGACTGCTTGCAGCGGGTGTTCTGGTTTGGGACGACACCAATCTGCGGAGGAGTGCATTCCTGCTCCGTCGCAGGTGGGGAGCCTGCAAGGCGCCAGTGTGATGGGTCTGGAGAAATTGGAGTGCAATGGCAGCGCTTGTCGGAAGGGGCCTGCTTCCTATGCCTACCTGGGCCAGTTGCAGGGCCAGGGAAGGAGGGTATTCAGCGGTCAGGGTGCTGAGGTATACCCCTTGTTCTTTCACGCCTGCATGCTTTGATGCTTGTATGAGTGATTGCAACGAGCCTCCAGGGCCCGTATTTTCGAACTGTTGCAGCCGAACGCCCACGACTTGGAGAAGGCTTTGTTGCGCACGCAGGCGTCTACCCACACCAGGGCACACTGGTGATCGCGTAAGCCAGCCCGCATGCCTTCACGCCCCACCAAGAAAGGCAAGGGGAAGTCCAAAGGAGCCTCGCCTTCGCCAAAGCCCAAGGCAGAGTGGTGCACTACCTATAAAGGGCACGAGGTCTGCCGGCGCTACCAGACGGGCAGTTGCACTAATGACCAGTGCCCTTTCGCCCACGCCAGCAAAAGCACCCCCCGGATCTTGGACCGGCACAGGATCGGGCAGCCATGCCTCCGCCGGCCTTGCCCCACGGCGGGCCTCATGCGCCGTCTTCACCATTGCATGTGCCAGGGGAAGCTGCCCTGACTCCAGCCTTGCCTTCGGCGCACCGTAGCGAGCCAAGCGCTTGGCCAAGGCCACACACGCCCGCCCAGGCAAGCTTATCGGACTCACCGTTGCATCCAGCCTCAAAGCGGCTCTTTTTGGACGTTTGCAGGTAGGCTGCGCCCAGTGACGTCGGCCGCCATTAGCCTTGGCCTTGACTGCTTCGAGCCTTTTGACCTAGATGGAGACACTGCGCACGACATCCTGGATGACGAAGTATTCGAGGCCCTTCTCAGACTCTGCTGGTCGGGAATCGTGGCCCTGATCATGCTTGCCCCGCCTTGCAAAGAATACTCCAGACTCAAACTACGCCCGGGCGGGCCCAAAGCCTTGAGAACGCCGCAGCACATGGACGGGGTCCCCGGCCTTTCGCCTGCGCAGCGTAAAAAACTGCTGGATAGCAAGACCATCCACGACCGTGGTAGAGCTTTGTTCTCCAAAGGAGGCGTTGGCATTTGGGAACAGCCGCCATCAGCCATGTCCTGGCTGGAAGAGGCCAACTTCCACACGCTAAGGCCGCGCTTGGATCCCCTTTGCCTTGGTGTTGCGGGGCGTGGTGGTGCTGGCACGGATGGCTTGGACATTTTTGGGCGCAGCTGTAGGAGGCTGCGCACATCGTTTCTCATGTGCGTCAGCTCGTACAAGGCATTATCCAGGGACCATCGCTGCCCTAGAAAGTCGGATATGGCTGCCCAGAGCTTGCGCAGCTGACAGAAGC